TCCATAGGGAATTTGCAATTAGTTTCTCTGTTAGTATGAAAATTGGATTGTCATTTCCTAGACTCTAGCATAGGTTGAAAATTAGTGTGTGAAGAATTGTTTCTAGACGTTTTGGCACAACTCATTCAACCACATACTTCCGAGGCATGACTTGACCATATGAGAAACTTTACAACAGGTAAATCATGACATAATCATGCATTCATTATAGGATTCCTAGTTGGAATTATTTTCACACAAGGATTTTTATGTTAATCCTATTTTTAATAGGATTAGATTTTATCTCTTGATATTATTTCCTACTTGATTGGTCTAATTAATTTGTTTAGGTAGATATTGTTTTAGAAGATTGGCCGTAGTGGAAAGTCATTATGTTTCCTCACATCTTGCATTAGTTGGCGTCATCACATAGCATGTAAATGGAATTAGAATTTATATTGATAATTGGATAATTGTTTGGTGGCTGTTTTGGTCTCTCAAGGAAGAGACCTCTTTGCATGATGTCTAGGAGTTTTAGTTTGAATAGGTTTTAGAGTTATTGTTGCACAGCAAGTGTGGCAATGTGGGCTTCTCTCCAAGGAGAGAAACCTGCTTTGAATAAAAGGACGGTTGGTTCTTTTCATTGATCAGCTTTCAACGCATTAAGTTTTTCATTTTATTGAATCTGTTTTCAGAAAGCTGCTGTGCTTAGTTTCTTCGGTAAGTCATCAAGTGCTCCGTTGTTGCTTGGTGATTTATCGAATCTTTTCATCATTCATAATTGCATACATATGCATGTCGGTGACTCATATGGTTGAGGGCACCAAGACTGTAGTGGCGTTTATCCTCCGGTGAGCTTGAAGCAATCGCGACCAGTATTGCGTTCAACATAAGGAGTGTCGAAGATCATCCCGTGACAGAAGTTGAATTACGAAGAAGTCGGAAAACATTATCTAGAATGTGTCTAGGATAAGTGTGTGAGTACTTCTTGTAGTCATCGTTCTATAGTGGATTTGTGTTGGATTGAGGAGTCCCGTGGATTTTCCCCAGAGGTGGGGTTTTACCACGTAAAATAATTCTCTGCGTGTTCCTTTATTTTATGTTCAGCACGTTTCAGGATTGATAAGCCATATCAATCCTGCTACCGAAGTTTATTTTCTGTTAATTGATTATAATATTAAATTGGCCTATTCACCCCCCTCTAGGCATTTTTAGTCATCCTACAAGTATTTTCATTCTCTTACATGAAACTTTTCTAAAAGTAAATCTGCCATTTTTGCATCATAAATTTTCAATTCATTTTCATTTTCTGCTTATTCTTCAAATAAATTTTCATGTTTAAACGAGGTAATCCATTACAGAACTCACGTTCTCCCTGCAAAATAGATTAAGACCCAAGAAAAATCATCTTTGTTGCTTATCTGGGTCTGCACCTAAAACCCATCTCAATTCTCAATGAATAAGTTCTCAATTGACGACCTTGAATCTGCAAGAATGCTTGTACAAAGTGATTATTTGGAAAATAGCAGCAATATAGAGAATAAATAGACTCGTCTGCCATGGAGAGGAAAGGAAAGGATAAGGAAAGAGAGAGGTGATGAAGAGGAGAGAGGCTGCGGTGTGACTCTATGAGTGAGGGATGATAGGTAGGTGTATAAGAAAATTGAGACAACAAGAATCTAAACCCTAGTATGGTCTGGTTTTTTTTTTTTTTTTTGGGGGGGTGCTAGGATTAAAAAAAACATATTTGCTAGCAGTATATGGGTTTGCACGCGCTTTTGGGAAGGGAGGATTAAACAAATATGCACTACGCCTGGTTATTTTTTATTTTTTTCTGAGGGCTTTTAGTTTTTTATTTGTTTTGTTCTATACATATATATGGTCTTCCTTGCCTTCCGCCTGGTGCTTAATCTTCTGTTGTGTGGTTTTTTTTTGTTCTTTTGGTGTTTTTGTTTCTTGTTCTTGTTTTTAGTTCTTTGGTATGGTGTGTCTGTCTTGTTTGTTTG